AAAATCAGAGAAAGCTAGTTGATAATCTATTACCCTGGACATGAATAACTAGGGTTTAATGGTGTGAGGAGAGCTATAGCTTGCCTGGGGGCCAATTGTTTAGTAGGTGAATTAATCATAACAGCAGCCATTTGTTGGATAGATAGTGGGTTCCCAGCAATGAGCTAAGATTGTGTTCTCACATCTCTATCTTAAAACAGTGGTAGGGCATCAACATGTCCCATTTTACTGGCAGATGGAGAAGGAAGGGTGAAAGTCATGTGAGAGAGAGAACCACAGAGCTGCAGTCGGAGGCTGAAATGACCCATGAGTGGAACAGGGAAGCTGCTGAGCCCACTTGTCTTGTGGTGCTTGAGAGTTGAAGCCTCTGTGCCAGGGTTTCTCACCTTAGCACTCTTGACCCTTGGGGCCAGATCATTCTTTCTTGTGGAGGTGAAGCTGAGCATCACGGTGGGATTGACAGGCACCAGGGTCTGCACCAGCTAGATGGCAAAACCAACCTCCCAACCCCCACCTAACCTTCAACCACCAAAAATGCCTCCAGACCTCTCCAGCTGCTCACTAAAGAGCTAAATCAACTCCGATGGAAGCCACAGATTTATAGCAGCCCTGGATGCTCAGAAACCTGTATGTTCCGAAGGAAGAGCAATCCCAAACTATTGCTCACTCCACGGTCCTCAACTCCGCTCTAACCCCATATGGTCCCACCTTGACCACAGAGCATCATTATATTATCTCCCTCTGTATGCCCTGAGCTCCAAGCAGCTGCTCTCGTCTGTCTCCTGAGGGTACCCAGCATCCACTGAACATATGCAGATATATATGCCCACAAGCCTGCTGCCCGATAGCCCCTGTCCTGGCAGCAACTCCACTCTGTGGAGCCGTCCCTAGCTGCTAAGACCACTCTCCTGTCTGTTCCTCTCCCCTCTATGGCACTACACAGCAGGTCCTGTCCTCCTTTGTGATGTTGCTGCATGATGGGGGTTTCTGAAGGGAGAGATTCAGTCACAGGCTCCCCCCACCCTCCGCTCCCAATATGTCCGACACCATATGAGGTGTCGAAAGCCTGGCAATGGCGGCAACAGTAAGAGCTCAGACTTTGGCATTCTTGGATATTCAGCCCTTTGTGCCTATCTTCCTGCGTTTTGCTTTATGACCCATCCATGGCTGGCCTCATGGGCTTCCAAACCGATGGGTGTCTCTGGTAACTGACTAACTTCTCCCCCCATACCCCCCCCCTGCAGGCTCTCTGGCCATGAAGGTCTGCAGGAAGGACTCCTTAGCCATCAAACTCAGCAACCGGCCCTCTAAGCGAGAGCTAGAAGAGAAGAACATCCTCCCCAGGCAGACCGATGAGGAACGGCTGGAGCTCAGACAGCAGATCGGCACCAAGCTCACCAGGTAGGAAAGCAGCATCACCGCCCCTCTGATGCCAGGACAGGCTCTGTGGCTCAATAGAAGCGTGCAGCCTCCGTCTCCAACCTACTTCTCCACGTCTCTTAGCAACTCACCGCATGCAAAGCCAGTGGGTAGCAACTTGTTCGGTCCCTAAGATTGTTTGTACAGTCCCTCCCCTTCACTAAGGCAAACCTTAGAGATTTCGCTTGATTCGAGGGTTAGGACTGAAGAGCTGGGTGTGAAGGAGTTATAATTAGTTAACTATGGTGACAACCAAGCCCACTCTGTGATATAGTCAAGAGTTTGGCAGTGGTGTCTGTTGCTGCTCTGGGATGCTTCTTGAAGGGTGTATGTATGGTTATTAAAGACGTGGGCATAGATTTGTGTGGCAGTAATATCTTAAACCCCTGTGTATGTTTGTCATCTAAGTCGAAGTTTATATAGCATGAAGTAACATGTATTGAACGCTTGCTCTTTGGGCATGCTTCTGAGCATTTCTGCATCGTATGTAGTAAACCATTCCTTTGTTGAATTTCCTTTAAGATAGGTGTGCTAATGCTTGATTTACACTTGAGGACATCAGGCTTCTGTCAGAACTTCAGTTACTGTCTTAGTTGCTTTTCTATCATTGCACATTACTATAAATAGCTTCTTTCTCACAATTACCTTGGTTTCTTCCTGGAGGGTGTTGTGGTAATGACATGGGCTATGTGAGGTAGTCAACACTGATATGATTTAGCATTGTGTAACATAGTCTTCAAATGTGAACAAAAATATCAGCGCACACATATGTACATTTTCCCATGCATTTGCTCTTACTCTGTGTTTGTATGTGTGTGTGTGTGTGTCATCATCTCTATCTACCTCATTGAATTGCAGTGGCGTGGCCACAGAATGGCTATCTAGTTCAGCCAGTGATAGTTTCAGCTTTCCAGAAAGCACAACCCATGTCTTCTTTCTTCAACAGCTGCTCAAAGCACACACGTGCGCACACACACACACACACACACACACACACACACAATTGCTCATGCTTAGAGTGGCAGCAATGCCCACTTACTGTCTTGTTGGACAGTGACAATGACCTGGGCCTCCCCAGACCTACTCGCTCAGGCAACATAGAACCAGATCTGGGGGAAGGGAGTGGGAGTGCATGGCTCTAAACTGACTCCAAGTGTGTTCCAGTAGAAACATAGTTCAAATGAGGCTACCTTAGGTGGCGGCAGGCCTGGGGAAAGGAAAGGAGCAGATGCTTGGCCCTGGTCCTTCCCAGAGTTCAAATCCACCCGTGCATGTGGATGCCTTTTGTTATAAATGTTTTTTCTTTTACTCTCATTTCCCAGAATTTGCTATAGGACAGATAGAGCATGCAGTATGTGGAGGCTCAGTGAAAGACTTCTCATACCTGATTGCCTAATGTAACATGGTGGTGAAAGAATCAGAAAGAATGAAAGTGAAAAATAAGGACAGGAAGAAATGAGAAGTGCAGAAAGAAGTACTGTTCCCCTGGTGTAGACTGATAAGTGGGAAAGAACATTTTTTTTTTCTTTAGCATTCTTCCCAAAGAGAGAATTCTCCCAGCCTCTCATGCTGAACACACAACTCTATCCCCACCATAATGCTGTAGCAGCCATGGCTAAACTCAGAAGAGGAAGAAACACGGCTGTCCACGTTTGGAAAAGTTCTGTGTTCAAACCTTTGTCCAAGAAATTCTTCCTCTAACAACCCTTCTTCTTTACCAATACATAAATTCTGCTGGGAAGCCATAAGAGCCACTGAAGACCCGCCATGGTGATTGTCTCTCCTCAGCCATCTTTTATGCTGGCTAGAGGGACAGACCAACCAAGGAGGGAGATAGGAGTGGGGACACTGGTGCTGGTGATGTCCAAGGCACTTCATTCTGTGACAAGACCTTGGGCAGCTGTAGTCAGGTTACACAGCCTGAACCCAAAGGAGGAACATCAGGGTTGTCCAGTGTTTCATAACTCAGATGGAGAGGCCACGTCCACATTGCATAGTTATCCTTGTAGACACAGATTCACACACACAGAGTTTTAGAGACTGTCCTCTTAAGAATGAGAGCCCAGCTCTACTTGCAGAGCCAGTCACTGATCCTGAAACTAAGGCAGAAAGTCTGGGCTGGAGATTTGCCAAGCTGTTCCAGGACAAGAAGCCTAGCTTCAGGCGCTGGTTCTCAGCCTTCATTGGTGCTCCCTCATCCCCCGCAAACCTCCCAGGGTAAAATTCTGATCCCTGCGTACATACACTCTGCAAGTTTGGTTATTACAAAAGGTGAAGTAAGAATGTGGAGGTCTGTTTGGCAGCTTGGTGGCCTGTGGCATTCTGTGTGACAGACAGCAGAAGTATACTGGAAACCATAAGCACTTTGAAACCCTCCAGCTGAGTCTGCGGTCCTCATGGAGTGAGCAAGAAAGACAGCTTTACTTAGCCTGATGGCTTTAATAGCTTAAGGCGGGGAAAGGTGCAGCAATCCAAGAATAATCCGAGAGAGGGAGTGAGGCATAGTGAGTCAATTTCTCCAGACCCTTCCAGCATGAAAGTAGGATCTCTACCTAAATAATTATTGTTCTTCAGTTAGGGGGTGAATGTGAAGTATCTCCTACAGGTTTAAGTGCTTGAACGCTTGGTTTCCGGGTGGTGGTGCCATTTGTAGGGGTGGAGGTTGCAGAAGCCTTAAAGTAGGCCGGGCCTGGAGGAGGGGAATGGGGTGTTGAGGGTCACAGCTTCTTCCAGCTAGAGCTGTTTGCGTCCCGCTCCACTGAGAGAGGGCGAGGGCCACGGATGTGGCCACTGGGCCATAACCTCAGCGATACTCCTCTGCCTGTAAGTGGGACCCAACGAAACCCTTCCTCCTCTTGGTTGCTTCTATAAGGTGTCTTGTCTCCGTGCAATTTCTGTTAGCCTTGCCTTGCGGATGCTTTGGAGCAGGGATTCCTGACTCTTGTTCAGTCAGCCAGGGGAGGAGAAACATGGAATTCTCTGGTTAGAGATGGGAATAGGAACAAGAGGTTACGCATTGGCGCTCGGGATTCCAGAAGAGTGCAACAAGCATAGGAGTAAGCAACTCTGCCCCCTGACGCATGGGACAGGAGGAGAACTTCTCTTTCTGTTATTTCCTTCTTTTTAATTTCCCTATTTAGACTTCATTATAATGTTCTCAGCACATCCATGCAGTAGGCCCTATTATATATTAGCCATAAATGAGTGGCATGCAGCCGTGCATGGTGGCACACACTCGGAATCCCAGCTCTTAGGAGATGGAGGCAGGGAGATAGGAGGAACAGAAGTTCAAAGTCATCCTTGACTACAGAGGAAGTTCAAAGCCAACCCACACTACACTGGACCGTGTCTAGAAAGGTGATAATAGTTAGACAGATAACAGTATATGTTGGGAACATGCTGAGATTCTTACTAATGGACTAAGGGTCACTTATCCAAGCCATGTGAACAAAGCCATTCTCTCCAGTTGCCCCTAGTCAAGAAAAATATGGAGACCATGGTGCAATCTCTCTGAGTATCTTCTAGGGAGCTTAGAATGATCCCTAAGAAGCGATCACCTTGACTCCAGAATGTTAGAGGTCTAGTTTTCTTCAGGAACGAAGCTTTTCCTTCATCCTCTCCCCTACATGATATTTCATCCACATGATTCAATTTTTTTAATTTCCAATCTAATTTAACACATCAAAAACAATGAGATGTGGAGCCCTGCTTTTCAAAGTTCATCAGTAGGGTGTCCTGTCAGAGTGGCCTCCTGAGAATTGGACAGCATGTTTCTTCCCTTCTGTTTCTACTTTGGTGTGCTGATTTATTGGTGAAGTGACTGTGTTCAGGACTGCTACAAGGGGGGTTGTCAGGGACAAAGGAACTAAAACACTAAAGCATGACCTGACAGTGGTCACAAAAACCCAGTGCCCTCAGGCCCCTGGAGGACTGCCAGAATTCCACCTTTTGCAACAAGGATCCACAGGCTTGGCCTCTGCCATGGGCCTCTGGGCCGTTTGGATCAGATAGGGAGAAAGGCCCATGAAGAAACAAACAGCCAAGGGTGCCTCACAGTAGCCATGGGACCCTCCACTCCACATCCAGCATGGCAGTAGATGAGGGCTAAAGCAGGTGCCTCTCTTTTATCTGTTAAAATACCACCTCCAGGCCAGGGAGATGGCTCTGCACCTGAAGGCAATTGTCACCATATTTGAACAGCCTGAGTTCAATCCTGAGGACCCACACTGTGGAAAGAGAGAGCTGTCTAGCTGTCTCCCACAAAGAGCCTTCTGGTCTCCTCGTGCACACCATGGCCTGCTCCCAACACACACACACACACACACACACACACACACACACACACACAGGTAATTTTAGCAACTAAAATGCCACCTCCCATTCAGAGATCCAACTGTCAGGCTCTTTGCCATTATGGTTGACCAGAAGTTATTTTTCAGCACCCACCAGAGCCACGGCAGACGGAGGCTGCACTGGCAGCTGGCCATAGCTCCGTTAGAAGCTCTAAGAAGAGGATAGGGGTTGAGATTGGAAAAAGACTTTCTCCTTGTGAGATCCTTTTTCTGCGCTGAACATGGCTCATGTTATTTGAGACTTTCACCTATTTTTTCCTCCCCGGGCTCAAAGGAAGATGCTGACTCAATTTAAGCCCTCTGGAGCATTTGGTTGCTGGAGATGCTGTGACAAAGTATCGGCTGGTTGGTTAGTTTACACAGTAGAAGCACCTTGTCCCACAGCTCTGGAGACTGGCAGTCTGAAAGCAAGATATTGTCAGACTGACTCCTTCCTCATGCTGACCGCAGGGAGAGGCAGGACTGTGGCTGTGTAGGCTAAGGTACTCATCCCTCCCCAGCCCCAGCCCCACATCCACCGGCTTGCTGGAAATATTAAGCAGTGCCTTGACTTTGTTTTCACATCCAGCTCTGCCTTCAGTTTAACATGGCCTTCTCCCTAAGTGAATTCTCATCTGTCAAAGGACAGCA